GGACTTGAATTTGTTTTCTGATAAAGTGAGATGAGATCACTATCCACGTGAGCGCCCAGCCTGGAGACTGTTGTCAGAGTTGGCATTTGTTACATGGTAGAGCCAGCTTTGCCTCAGCTGTGGAGATTCCATTGCACATGTCTTCCCACCTCTGTGTGGGATATGAACCATGTCATTGGCTGGAAATGTTTCCACCACAGAAGTTGCCAGAGGCTGGCTAATTGGGGCCTTTTTATTCCAGGAGAGCCAGTTTTGAAATACCTCCTCAGTGGCACAGGTGTGCCCCAAAGCTGTGAGTCTCGGTGCCCTAGTCCTTCCCCAGGTCCTGTTTGTCACTTGGTGGTTCTTTGTACTCTGTAACAATCTAGCCATGAGTCAGAACAGCTTGAAGGGCTGCTACAGCCCAGACTGTTGGTGCTATCCCCCAACTTCCTAACTAACTTTCTCATGGTAGCACTCCTGGTCTGAAAACTAAAGTTGGTGGTACATGCCTATTCCATGTAATAAGTTAAGACCACTGTGTGGAGCCCTTTGGAGAACACAGAAGAGACTATGTCTTCTGGCCCCAGTAATGGGACTCTAATGGATACTGACTAACACAGTACTTGAACTAATCTTTAAAATCCCTTTGAGACAGCAAGTGCTAATTTAACCCTCATTGTACAGATGGGGAAAGAGACCCAGAGGCTTAAGTAACTTAAACAAGGTTATACCATCCACAAGGAGAGAAGCCAGGGTAAGACAAAGTCCCCACATACTGGGGCCACTACCTGGAGGGTATAGGTGGTGTTATATACTCAAGGGCCAGAAGAGACTGAAATCCAGTGTCACCTCTGCATGCTCAGCTGTGCACATCAGGCAAAATGGCAGAGGTCTTCTTCCCTGATGAAGATTCTATAAAACAGGGGCTAGCTCTGTCCCTACCCAGATGCATGTTTTCTCTCCCTCCCTCCATTGCAACCGCCAGTGCCTCTAAAATGGTGGATAGTCATTGCAAGCAAGACAAACAAGAGAGAGAGATGTGATATGAAGGGAGCGGAAGCCTTGCATGTGGGCAAACCAGCTGTGCCTGCAGAAATACTTGGGAGGGAGGCAAGTGTCATCGAGATGAAGCGAAGGGATTTGGCTACAGTTAGAGGAACGAATCTTGTGATGAGAGAGTGACATCTCCAACCCACCCCTGCACATGTGTGGCATGGATGGTGCCCAGTAGGTGGGGCAATTAGCCTGCATCCCATGGCACCTGGCTCGACCAGCTCTCCCCTTCCCACTGTCTTTCTGCAATTAGATTGCTCCAGCTAATAGCTGCCACACCACTTTGTTGGAGCTGATGGGTCTATTAATTCCTTGAGGCTAATATGAGAGTGGGTGGGAGACTCATTTCCTGACTGGAGCTCAGGGGCTAATTAGTCTATTTGCCAGGTCCCCAGAGGTGAAGCCTTGGAGGGTCCTTTGCTGAGGCTGTCCTATCTGGCTACGGAAAAATCTTTTCTTCCCATGGCTGTTGTGGGAACCTAGTTTGTTGTTTAGTTGAGGCTAAAGAGCTGGGGAGGCTTTGAGCAGGCAGCCTTGCTGGTATGAAGTGTGAGTCCAGGGTGACAATAGGCTGCCAAGAAGTTCAGTCTTGTCCTGAGCTGCCTGGCATCCAGCCTGCTTGGTTTTATGTCCCTCCTGTCCAAGTAGAGTTCTTCCCAGCCTAGCAGACCATGGGGAACCAATTCTACACATTTTGAAGGCAGGAAAATGGCCACTAGGAGGGGATTCTTACTGGATTTATGGAGTGTCAAGACCAAGGAGAAGAAAGTCATGTTTCTAAACTTCATGCTGGGTAGCTGAGGCTCTTGAGGCCTCTTCCTGCTTAGTCAGGTTTGCTCAGATAACACACACACACACACATACACACACACACACACACACACACACACGTAATTACTCTAAAAGACATCAACAGAGTCAGGAAAGATGGAAAGATCAAAGACTTAGGATCTGGCTTTAGATTCAAACCTATGCCACAGATAATAGTTGTGACTTTAAGAGATGAGTCATTAAGCCCGTATGAGCACATTTCTTCATTAATAAGATAGAAACACCATGACACCTCCAAAGCATGATGGGAGAATTCAAAAGGGTGATAGAATGGCACATGTGACACAATAGGTTTCCTGTAATTATTACCCACTCCCTTCTGTTTGGAAATCTCACCACACAATCATCATCCTCCCACCGTTGTCCCTGTAGAGAGAAAAGGTGCAGGGAGCAGCAGGCAATGATGTCATCTGGTATGTCCCTCTGAGAGGCAATAGGAGCTCTAGAAGCCTTAGGGAAGCTCATCTGTGTTCTGCCCATGCCTGGCCAGCAAGAATAAAGTGCTGATAGGAGACAATGGCTTTCTCTGCTTTCACAGCCAGGAGGAAGGTGCTGAGGCCAGGGTCTGAGCATACAAAACGCTGGTGGGGGAGACATACCAGGAAGTAAAAATGCACCTCAAAGGTTCAGAGTTCTGCAGGCTTCCATGGGAAGACTTATCAGGGAGCAAGGCTCAGGACTCTCAGCTGATGGCCTCTGGTTTTCAGACAAGCTGGGTGGGATCTCTTACTGTAATAACACAAAGCACATAGTACACATAGAGCCGTTGTGCTATTGCAGAGGTGGAGAATGCTGTTTCCTTTCTGGTGGCATCCTTCCAGGGGTATGGAGAGGAGCTTTTGCTTCTCTACCCTTTGCCACTGGCAGGGCTCACAGGTCATGACCCATGGGTAAGAACTGGAAATTCTGGAAGGCCATCAATGATCCCAGCTGGTGGTCCAAGGAATCCTGGGTTGGATCTTCCCTCTGCATACTCCACCTTCTCCAAAGCGTAAAGACAGGTTACTGGCAGCTCCATATCATGACTCCAGGCCCTCTTCTTCCATGGAGTGAGGATGAGGGCAAGGGGGAGCTAAGTCTTTATTGTTGTTGAAGAATCTGAAGGCAAACTCAAAGCCTAGCTCCAGGGAACAGCAACCGTGGTAACTGCAGGGGTGTGTGGGAATTTTCCAGGGAAGCTGCTGGTGGTGCCTAGAAAAGGGAGCCATGTGCATCTCTGCGTATGCAGGCAACCATCAGCTATCTTTCCTGGGTGCAAACCCCAGCTACTCAGCAACACAAGTGACTTGTTTGGAGTCCAGCCAGCAGAATTATACCGGGAATTATATGTGTATTGTATATGTGTGCATTATTCATAAACTTTTCTATCCTTGTGTTTTGTGTTGTTTGTTTATATTATATTTATGTAATATAAGGTCTATTATAAAGTTTTCTGTTCCATCAGACTCCCTAGAGATTGTCAGGATGCGGAATAGTCCACAATAATATAAATATATACTCAAAAGTTGGTTAAGAGAACGTGATGATTCATGTTAGCACTTGCAAAGTCAAGGCAGAAGGATTGCTACAAGTTTGAAGCCAACCAAACAAGATTGAGAGAGTATATCATATTTGTGTATGTATGTATGTATGTTTGTGTGTGCATGTGTACCCCTGTATGTGTGGGCATGTGCACACATGGAGGCCAGATGTCTGCTGAGGGTGTCTTCTTCTGGCTCTTTCCACATTATCATGTTTTCAATACAGGAACTTTCACTGAACCTGGAACTTGGCAATTTGTCTTGCCTGGCTGGTCAGCAAGCCTCTAGCTCCTCCCACCTCAGCCTTCCCAAGGCTGTGATTAAAGGTTCTTACCGCTGTGCCTGGCTTTTTTGAACATGGATGCTGGGAAGCCGAACTCATGCACGTATAGCAAGCTCTTTAACAATAGAGCTATTCCCAGTTCTCTATGCAAATGGTTTTTAAAAGCCACAATAAGATTAAAAATAAAACAAAATACAGCTTTAAACACAGTAAAGAAATGGAAGGAAAAATAACATTGATTGAATGCCAGGATAAACTCATCCTCACCATGACCACCAGAAGTTTCTGTTATTATTCTTGTTTGACACAGAGGGATGCATGCCTAGGGGCTCAGAAATATCTGAGGCTGCACAGTGAGTTTCAGGCTCCTGGTTAGAGTGGGGACTGTAGTGTCAAACTGTTGTGTACATGGTCTGTGGGTTCTGAGCGAGGAGAGGAGCATTTTCATTTCCAGCTGAAAGGGCCAAGGCTCTGGAGGAGCCTCACAGTGAGGTGGTGGCTGAAGGAGACGATTATTTGACTATTCCCTCTTCTGACTTATTCACTCAGCCATATGTTGAACCATTTGATGAGCACTTAGGTTTCTGCTCCTGTAGCAATGTGACTTCATTTGGGCTTTCCAGCACCAAGAACGGAACCCAGGGCATCGCCATGAAGGTGGGAGCTCTGCCACTGAGCTACATTCCCAGCCCTCCGCAAGCATTCATTAAAGGCCTAGTACATTCCAGTTTCTTCTCATCTTGTATCTGTCCTCTTAATCACATTTTTGTTTGTTGAGATAGGGCCTCACTATGGAGCTCTGGCAATCCTTGAATTCACCAGGTAGCCCCAGTTAACTTCAAATGTAAAGCAACCCATCTGTCTCAACCTTGCAAGTGCAGACATAAGACACATTTTTTTTTTTAATCTTAACCAATTTTTAAGCGTACAAGTATACATGCTTCCATTCTTATTCTCACCTAGATAATTGGGTTTACTGAAGATAGGCCGAAGCAAAAGTGACTTGTGTATCAGCCCTGCCTGAAAACAACACAATTCCTGGTTTCCCCTCCCCTTCTGACGACAGAGCATCTCTGCACCATGCTATAGTCCTAACTAATTTCTCCATTCTCCTTTCCCATCTCTTCTAAGTTTCAGATTCTTTCTTTCTTTACTCTGAAATCCCCCTTCCCTCCAGACCCTCAATCTTGTATCATGTCCCCCATTTCTGGTCTAGACTCCCGTGTCTACCCACAACAGAGCCCTGCCCTCTCCTGTTCTCAAGTCCAGCAAACTGCAGCAAAATCTGTCCCTCCCTCAGCCTTCCCACGCTCTCCCTTTGGTCTCCTCAGATTGGCCAGTGGCATGTGGCAGAGGGCCTCAGCATGGACAGCCGCCTCTACGCCTCCAACATCTCTGACAGTCTCTTCAACACCACCCTAGTTGTCACCACCATCCTGGTAAGCGGGGTTTCTCGGGCCTCCAGCTGCAGCTCCCGAGGGGGCTTCCTCCCCAAGCTCTCGCTCATGGGCTTCCCGGGGAAACAGAAGATGGAAATGCTAATCACAGCACAGAGGCCAATTTATGACGGCGTAATTTCACTCCAGTTGCTGTTTCATATGGAAATGATATCTGATGAGCTGCTGAGCAGCTGGGACAGAGGGAGAGAGTCCACAGTGTGTGGGTACCTTTCCCTGGGGATCTGGGTGGCTAGGAGAGCTGTTTCGAAACCCTAGAAATGGGACCTTCCGACGTAGGTGGGACAGCCTGGGTGATGATCCTCTTTCCCAGCAGCTCACTTTCCTTGGTAGCTGCTATGTTCAAAACCAGCCCCTCCCCAGCCACACCCTGAAGTAGACGCCTGAATGTCTGTGGGCTCCTGTAGCCTTTCCCTTCCAGATGGTGACGAGAGAGTTCTCAATGAGCCGGCAAGTCCTGAGACATCTGCCTTTCCACTTGATTCCTTTCAATTCAGTAATTACCAAGTCCACCCCCCCCAACCCTGCGCCCTGATGTGTGCCTGGCACTACGCTCACTCATAAAACCAGAGATGACTATGTACTGGTCTAGATCTTCAAAGAAGTTATCACTGAGCAGGTGGGCTAAGTCAACTACACAGAGCCAAGGTGTTAACACCACCCCAAGCCCTGCAGATCTCATGTTTCAAAAGATCTGTCAATTAAGCCAACTACAGGATAAGCAATAATTGCTTTGTTCTTCCCCACTCTGATTTTAACTAATCAATAGTGTATTTCCCTACCCCACACAGCATCGCACCAGAGAGAGGTAATTGGTATAGCCACACTGATATTCTTTCAGCCCAGAGCAGAGGCAATGTATAGGCCAGCTTCGAAGTCTAGTTCCTCCTAGATGTAGGTACAAGGTCTGCAAATATGTGTATTTCTCTTGGGCTTTTCTGAGAAAATAAAAAGAACATAGAGTCCTCCGTTATGACCTTCAGGAACTCCTAAGGCCCAGGAAGACTGGGCTGGGATTACTGATCTATTATAAACAGAGTGGGCAAAAAGCCAAGAGAGAGATGGGAAGCTAGAGCCCTGAGGTATGGAAGAGGGAGCCATGTGGAGGGCAGCAAAGCATAAGAAAGCATTTTCGATGAACTCTGAAAGATGGGAAACAGTTGCAGGGGAAAGACAACAGAGGAAAGTGTTGTTAGGTGCTGAAAAAAGGCTGGGAACCACGGGCTTTCCTGAGAATGGGCATTGATTGGGAATGGGAGAGCACAGTCCAGAACCATGAGACTATAGTGCTTAGAGGCTTGTATACTCAGCCATTCATTGCTCCCCTCATTTGAAGATGAGCCGCCAAAATTTTTTTCTGTTCATCCAAGGAATATTTATTGTGCACTTCTATATGCTTGGAACTCTTCAAGGTACTCAGGAAACATCGATGAACCAAACACAAAAACCCTTGCCTGTCAGGAGCTTCTGTTTTAGTGTGGAATATGAGGCAGGTAATAAAATGTCAACAAAGATTGAGTCTAATGTATTTGAAATGCTTTGGACCCAAAATATTTCAATTTCAGATGTTTTTCAGGCTTGGGAATATATTCATAGACATTGCTGGTTGAACATCCCTAATAAGAAATTCTAGACTCTGAAACACCTGCTAGAGTCCTGTCAGCACTCAAAACGTTTCAGGATTTGAAGTAGCTCAGGTTTGGCATGTGAGTTAGGGCTGCTTAATCTCAAGTCAAACCATGCATTAGCAGGTAGGCTGGGAGCAATGGCGGCTAGTGCTGGTTCCCAGGTGGTCAGAGGTGGTCTTCTCAAAGGGATGGAATCTGAGTGGAGGCAAGACACAGCGGAGGAGCTACTCCTTCCCTCCCCAAACCTGTGGCCAGGAAACAGCTTGAGAAGGGAGGGCAAAGCAGACCCAGGCTCCCAGGTTTCAGTCTCCCCAGTTCCCAGCTCCTTCTCTGCTCATCTGAGCCCCTTAGAATGCCAGGTGTCCCCTCTCCAGCTGAGAACCGGGGACAACCTGACTAAGCTGTTTGGTGGAGGATGTAACCCAGGGCATGACCTTTGGGCCTTCTCTCCACCTGTCTTTTCTACCCCATGGGAACTTCCTGAGTCTCTCCCTTCTATCAGCCTCATAGCCATGTCATAGCCCAGACTTCAGCCTCCTCCTGCACTTCTTTGTCCCCGGTCACAGGTGGAGTCCTCCCAGGCTCCCTGCCCACCTGGCCTATCTCCCCACTACACTCATAACTGTCCTGTCATTTTCTTCTTTCCATCTTTTACTTCCTTAGTTTGGGCTCTAACCCCATCACGCTAAAATAACCACCTCTTCATGCGGCCTTAGGGCCCAGGGTTCCTCATGGCTTCATACCTCCATGATGGGATGCTGTTCCCTTCCTTCTGGATGCCTTTCCCTAGCTCAAAGGTCATCTTTTCTCTGGAGTCTCTCTTTGGCTGACTTCTGCCTTTATCTCTCCCTGGCTCTTCCCATACCCATCTGACCAGACGTATCTTCTCATAGTTATTTGACACCCCACATCCCCTTCATGAATGGGAGTGTCTCAAATATTGGGGTGCCTGAAAAAAAATAGGAACTTAATAATTAGAGTCTGAATGTGGGAATACCTTTGAACAAAATTCAAGGAAGGAATTTAGACAAATTCTTTAAAAGCTGAGTCAAGTTGGGGCAGCAGACAAGGAACCTGCTGGTTGTGCTTCCTGCCTCCTTACATCTGGAATCTGACTATGCTGGAGGCTTCTGCTTTGTGGAAGACAGAAGGCCATGTTCCCAGATGGGGAAGCTGCTCTGGTGTGAGTGTGTGTGTGTGTGTGTGTGTGTGTGTGTGTGTGTGTGTGTGTGTGT